CTGTTTTTGTCCCTGTGGTGTTATTTAACATGTTCCTTTCTCCTCTGTATTTACTGTAAACTGATGACCATCAAGAGGCTTGTTTGGTTTGGGGTCTTTCTTTTTTTTTTCTTAGAGGGGCCAGAATGCTTCATTAATGGCAGTGATGATCATTTCTTATTTGCCACATAATATACATAATGTTTGATTGTCTCCCTTTTTGTGACAAGATGTGATCAGTGAGTTCAGGTACTGTCGTTCTGATTGATTAACTGTAAAGTTCCTCAAACAACCTTTTACCTTACGGTTTTAATAGCTATTTAAATAATTACTGCCCTAAATCCATTATTTCATTAGGATTCCAAAGTTATATTTATTAAATGGAATTCTGCTAAAAAGAACTTTTTCTCATGAGCTGTTCAGTTCCTTGATGTACAGGAAAGCCAGATAAAATACTTCATTCTTTCATTTTATTTACCAGTTTTGAAAATAATGAATTGGTTCCATAGCATTGATCAAAGAAGGCCAGTGAGGGACTTTGCTTTATTTTTAGTGTCATTATGACCTCATGGATTTAAAAATATTTGCCTTTCAGTTCTTTGCAGATATTATCCTTTTTGATGTTCAGATTGTCCTGTTTTTGGTTAGTGGGAGTCCTTTTGATACCAGTCCAGTAGTTTTTGATAGTGTACTTGCTTTCTGGTATAACAAGATGTTCCAGGGTCCTTTCGTCCGTTTCTGTCCCAGGCTGGAATCAGCCATTTTCCCAGGGAGCCTGTGTTCTTTTTTGGAGGACGTGGTATTACTCTGAGCACATGGGTGCTTATTACTCCTGAATTGGTCAGTGTTGCTATGCCTTTTCATTGGATAAAGTTAGAATTTTTTTTCTGGTGTTTCTGAGTCAAATTTAGGCCTCTAGGATTTAAATTCTTTGATTTTATATTTGTATTTTTTCTAATATGCTGAAAATCTTAGATCCAAATGACAGCGTAATTTACTTGCTTCATCTTATACAAAGTTTCAGAATAACAGTATCAATATTGCTACTATTATTAACAGTGAAAATAGTTTATGACTTTTTTCACTTCCTTTTGCTTTTAGAATACATTCCGTTGGGGATACATATTTGTATTGTTGTGTTTGAAAATCACTTGAAGTAGTTCATTTCTGTGTGGTTAAGCTAACATCTCAATACACAAGTTTATTTGCTTTATGTTTAGGGGTTCTTTTTTAAACTTTAATTTTTATTGTTTACATGGTTGCAAGCTCAAAATCAAATCTGTAAAGCAAGGTACTTTCAGAAAAAAGTCTAGCTTTCATATTTTTCACTGTGTCTTCTCTCCTTCTGTAGGTAACCATTTTTTCCTTTTGTTCTTTTTTTTTTTTTTTTTTTGAGACAGGGTCTTGCTCTTTCACCCAGGCTGGAGTGCAGTGGTATGATCAAAGCTCACTGTAACCTCAAATTCCTCAGCTCAAGCCATCCTCCCATCTTAACCTTTCAAGTGGTTAGGACTATAGGCCTGCACCATCACACCCAGCTAATTTTACAACGTTTGGTAAAGACAGGGTCTCACTGTGTTGCCCAGGCTAGTCTTTAAGTCTTGGCCACAAGCTGGCCTCCTGCCTCTGTGTGTCAAGTTTTTGGGATTACAGGTGTGAGCCACTGAACCCAGCCTTTCTATTATAAAAAGTTATATATATATATGTATATTTGTATTTTTATTCTCCTTTTTTAGATAAAAGGTAGTTTACTGTTATTTATCCTGTTTTTTAACTTACTGGTATATCTTCAAGGTCACTTCATAGCGATGTATGGATATGTATTTTACATCTGTGCAGTGCTTCATTATGAGGATGTATCCTGGTTCATTAAATCAGTGTTTTGCTATTACAAAGAGTGCTGCTTTTCATGTTGCCAGTTTATCTTTAGGATAAAGCCCCAGGAGTGGCATGCTTGGTCACAGGTTTAACATCATTTTGTAGTTATTGCTAAATTTTCCTTCATAGGATTTGTACTGTTTTGTATTTCCAGAAATGCAAATGCTTTTACATTTCATGATTCAGCGAACCTTCAGGATATAGAGAGGTGAATTCATAGTACATGGGATAGAAGAAAGAATCATAAATAGTTACTGATTAAAATGTCAAAGTTGAATGCAAACCTAATACAAAGGTTTTTTTATGGTAATGAATTGGTTAGTGTACTTGCCTGAACTATATTCAAGTGAAAATGAATTATGTACTTTGAATATACCTGTTTTCTTGGTATATGTAGGTATATGGATTATGAATAAAAAATGAAAATTCTTTGGGGTGAAAAAGCAATAAATTTTAATGGAGTATTAAACACCTTACATTCCTTATTAATCTCATCTTTCATTTGGCATAGTGAATATTTTATATGAAAAAAACAAGGACTAGTTTCATTTTGAAGAATAAACCACTTACTATTAATAAATAGCTTATTGGATTTGAAATTTGTCATTTGTAGATTTAATTGTTGCACTTTGGGTTGTCTATATGCTGGAAAGTCTGTGACACATACTAATTTGTATTTTTCTTTTTAAATGTTGGGCTTTTTTAAATTATACTTTAAGTTCTAAGGTACATGTGCACAACGTGCAGGTTTGTTACATATGTATACATGTGCCATGTTAGTGTGCTGCATGCATTAACTTATCATTTACATTAAGTATATCTCCTAATGCTATCCCTCCCCCCTCCCCCCTAATTCGTAATTTTGAAATGATACTGAGTTAGATCTCTTTCAACTTTACTGAAATCTTTTTTGTTTTTATTCTCTACTTGTATTATTTTTAACACTTTTTATTAAGGATTTGAGAGTTAAATTTTTCAGCTAGTTTAACAAACGAATACTTCTCTATCTTTTGGAAGAAAGGATGTGCTATGTTGTTTTGTTTGGCTTTTTTTTTGTTGTTGTTGAGATGGAATCTCAGTCTCTTGCCCAGGCTGAAGTACAGTGTCTCAGCTCACTGCCACCTCTGCCTCCTGGGGTTCAAATGATTCTCCTGCCTCAGCCTCCTGAGTAGCTGGGATTACAGGCATGGGCCACCATGCCCAGCTAATTTTTGTATTTTTAGTAGAGACAGGGTTTCGCCATGTTGGCCAGGCTGGTTTTGAACTTCTGACCTCAATCTGCCCACCTCGGCCTCCCAAAGTGCTGGGATTATAGTGTGAGCCACCAAGCCTGGCCTGTTTGGCATTTTTTAAGTTCCGGGAAGATATTATCCACAACTGTCTAAGTGCTATCATAGGAAGGAAAAAAAATTGGAAAGAGAGATTGGGTTCAGATCCTAGAAGACCTTATTTTTTTGGCTAACAAGTTTGGTCTCTATCCAGCAGACAGTGGAAAATCAATAAAGAATTTGTAAGATACCATTTAGCTTTGAATTCTTCAGAGGAAAAACTTGAGTGGTTCACTTGTTAGTTTCCATGTAAACTTTGTGATGTAATTGAATAGTTACATGAACTGTTTTTTGCTTATGGAGAACCTGAAGCATATGTGGTATTGTTAGTGCCTGTGCTATGATAATTCATGTTTATTGAGGCCATATTCTGTGTCAGGTAGATAGTACTCTACAAAATACTTTACATGGATTGTCTCCTTCAGTCTTCACAGCAAACAGGACAAGGGAGGGGCTAGTGTTATCCCCATTCTAATCTCATCAGAGGAGAAGTTTAAGGCTTATAGAAATGAAACACATTATCCAGGATTGGATCCTGTACATATAAAGGATATTGTTGGAACAATTAGTGAAATTTGCATGGGGCCTGTTGATTAGATGGTAATTTTGATCAATGTTAACTTCCAGATTTTGATGATGATTTTGTGGTTAGGAGAATGTCCTTGTACTTAGGATACACACATACACAGATACACACACACACACAGTGTATGTATACATTGAGATATTAAGTGGGCATTATGTTTGAACATTCTCAAATGGCTCAAAAATGTTAATAGTTTCATAATCTGGGTGACAGGTATGAGAGAGTGTGTGTCTTTACTGCCTTTCTACTTACTCTAACCAAGGTCATGTATCATCACAAAGTTAAATATATATTCAAGAGATCTGTGGTACAGCGGGATGACTGTAGTTCCTGATGATATATTGTAAATACTTGAAAAATGCAGAGAGTAGATGTTGAGTGTTCTTATCACAAAATAATGGCATGAGGTAATGATTTCTTAATTAGCTAGTTAGCCTTTTCACAGTGTGTATGTGCCTTCAAACATGTTGTACATGATAAATACAATGTTCTCTGTTAAAAAATTGTTTTTAAGAGTTTCACAGCATAGTATAATTGTTATTGAATCTAAGATTGCATAATACTGTTAGATTTTGTTTTTAGTATTTTCATATTTAATGACAGAATTAAATTTTAATATAAATTTATTTT